TACCTATCATAACGCCTGCCATTTGAAATAAATAAATGTTCTTCCCATCTGTGAAGCCCGAAGAGCAAATGATGACCATTTGATGTAAACAATTGCTTAGTTGCTGAGCCGTCAAATAGGCAAGCGTTTTGAGGATAATAATTTTTCTGACTAGGTGAACTTTGTGCTCATGAATTCAATCATTGTTTGGACTTCTCAGTTACTTAATTGACGGTATCAATTTCCTCATTGAAGCAAAAAATCATACAAGAGAGGGACTTTTAGAAATCAAAATTTTGCTCTTATAGAATTTAAGGGTGCACAGGTGTTGTGTTTGTCAGCACAACATGTAGGGTCATAAAAACATATACCAATCTTAGGAGTACAAAGAGTGAGGTTGGGCTGGAAATTCAGTTAGCATGCACAGAAGTATTAACTTCCACTTATCTAACTTGAGTTCAGAGTGGTTGAACAAAGAACAAAAACTTAAGAAATCCTTTTCGAGGAAGAATTGTAATTCTTTTATCTGGGAGTGAGCGATAGACTTACCTCCACGTGGCGTACCCTGGGCAACGCATACTCATACGGCAAAATGTCTATTAATCGGCAGTTGACTTCTGACTTCAAACAACCATGTCCTACTGTATGTCATATTCGACCACTTCCCAGTACTCATCTAACCTTTTCTCTGTCTTTGTATTTGTTTGTCTGTCTATTTTACATCTGTGAATCATTATTCTGTCCCCCTCTTGAGATTTTGTTATTTTGATGTTCCTCCTCTCTGTGAAGCCCGAAGTCAGCTAAAGGGCTAATGATAACTCCTGCCATTTGAGGTAAATAAAAATAAGCTCCTTTGATCCAGTTAAATATTTAGTGCAACTTCTCTTTGTCGTCATGCTCTTTGATATATTCCCAGATGCATATTTATCTATTTACTGTTACACGTAAATTAATAACTGGATCAATATGTCTTTTAAGCAAGAGATGCAATGGTTTAAGATCAAAACAATAAGGAGTATTTGAACAAAATTATATTGTTGATTATGTTGAGAAACGAATTATTTCCCGAGTTACTGAAATAAAGGACAAACTAACATTTCATACATGGAACATGTAATACCCAAATGTCATGGTCAGAAAAATTTTGAAGGATGTATCCAATTCTCATACATTAGGTTATTCAGTAATAAAAGCATCTATTGGATACTGACTAAAGTACGTTGAGTGAAATCGCTATTAATAATGGAGCGCTTATAATAAACGTTAATCAAACTTTCTAGAATTTCTTGAAAATTTTACTATTTTAAGTTAGCGTTTAAATTTATATTAATGAAATAAGTCAGCAACAAGTCAACACTTGTTTAGAACGATATTTGTAATCCCCGCTTTGATCGTTGTCTGAGGTATAACCTTTCGACGTGTCATTAGTTGCTATTTGGCTATATCTCTCCATTGTGTGTATGCATATTCTTTATAATGTAGTTTAATATGATAGGGATTCAATTTTTAGTTTTGTTTTTCAAACTAATTCCAAGTCCTTAAAGTGCCTAGGTTTAGTAAACATAGATAGCAGATCATTTTGAAATGTTATTTGCGTAATAAGCTATTTACGATAGTTTACTTTTAGAAAATGTCCACCGGATCCAAAGAATCGGCTTGTTATACTCTTGTATCTCTCACAAACGAGAGCAAATTATATACTGAACAGAAGCTTCGCGAAGACCTCCAAAATGAAAACGTGGCTATCAAACGTGAGGCCCTTAAGGAGCTTATTAGAAATTCAGTCAACGGTGAGAAGTATCGGGACTTGCTTATGATAGTCATTCGCTTTGTCATGCCTTCCAATGATCATACTATCAAGAAGCTCCTTCATCTTTTTTGGGAAGTTGCTCCCAAGTATTCTCCTGAAGGTAAACTCTTGAATGAGATGATTCTTGTCTGCGATGCCTATCGTCGTGATTTGCAGCATCCTAATGAGTACATTCGAGGCTGCACTCTTCGGTTCCTCTGTAAATTGAAGGAACCAGAATTACTAGAACCCCTTATGCCATCTATCCTCCAGTGTCTTGAACATCGTCATGCTTATGTGCGACGAAATGCTGTACTTGCTATTTTTACTATCTACAAAAATTTTGAGAATTTGATTCCTGATGCTCCAGAGCGTATGTTGAACTATTTAGAAGAAGAACAAGACCCATCTTGCAAGCGAAATGCCTTTCTAATGCTTTTACACGTCAGCCAAGACACTGCTGTTCAGTACCTTTCACGTTGTATTGATGCTGTTGATACCTTCAGCGAGACTATGCAGCTAGTTGTGGTAGAACTCATTCACAAAGTATTCCAATCTCATCCTGCGGAGAAAGTCAAATTCATTCGATGTGTTTTCTCTCTTCTTAACTCAACCAGTTCATCAGTTAGGTATGAAGCTGCTTCGACTCTCATCACCCTTAGCGGTGCAGCTCCTGCTATTCGGGCATCTGCCAATTGTTATATCGATCTCATTCTAAAAGAATCTGATAACAATGCAAAGCTCGTTATCCTCAATAGCTTGGTGGGCCTGCGGGGAAAGTATGAGAAGATTCTTCAAGAATTGGTCATGGATATCGTTAGAATATTGAGTAAGTTTTGCCACTTTCCCTTAACTATTCTGAGATACCTAACGGCCAACATTTTTAGATGCTTCTGACGTGGAGTTGAGGAACAAAGCACTTGAACTGATTGTTGATTTGGTGACTACAAGAACAGTTGATGATTTGATTGCTTTCCTTCGAAAGGAGTTAATGAAGGCAATTACGGGAGGGTCTTCTGCTCAACCAGTTGCCGAAAGTGGAGGTGCTAAATCTGGTGGAACTGATGAGGATATCTACAGACATTCTCTAATTCGAGCTATCCGCTCCATTTGCATGAAATTCCCAGCTTCCTTAACGGCTATTCTCCCTAGTCTCGGTGATGTACGTTTTCTGTTATCGTACATCCTTACTATTACTTCGAGTATCCTTACGGTCTTACCATTTTTAGGTCTTAACCTACACAGAGTTACAAGACTCTGCAGCCGCAGTGGAAGTTTGCCGATTTCTGCGAGATGCCATCTTTCGTCATCCCCATCACAAGGGTCTAATTTTAGAAAAGGTTTTCCAAGTTCTTCCCTCCATTGCTGGTGTTGATGTCCTTCGACACATCATTTGGCTCTGCGGTGAATTCTGCACTTGTAAGGCGGAAATCACAGAATGTATGCAGGTTTTTCATCAGGTAAATTGAAACGATTCTTTTCAAGTAAAATTAGTGTATCTTTACTTAATATACTAACAATTTGCTCATATTATTTTATAGTGTATAGGCCCACTTCCATTAGTTCAGCGAGAAATGGCTAGAATTAGGGCGGAAAATGGTTCTGTGGGAGAGGAAACCCAGGTGGAAGAAGCTAAAGAAACGTCGACAGAAACAACATTTAAAAGGGTCACAGCTGATGGGGCCTATGCGACACAATCAGCTTTCACCATTCGTATGTTTACAAATATATCAACTTACCCCCCCCCCCCACCCCTATTGCCAATAAGTAACGTTATCTTACCTTTTCTATAGGCACAGAGTCAAATGCTGCTGAAAATCTCAAACGGCCTGTAATTCAAGCCGCTCTTTTCGCCAATCACTTTATAATTGGAGCTGTTCTCTCCGCATGCTTGGTTAAGCTCTTCTGTCGATATGCCGATCTCGTGGGTTCATCTGACCCTGCAGCTAAGAATCGTTTTGGTGCCGATTGTATGCTCATTATTTCCAGTATGATTAATCTAGCTCGCAGTGGTCTTGTTGCCAAACTCGCTAATTCCAATATCACCGATCGTATGTGGACCTGCCTTGTAGTAAGTCATCCTCAAAAAATACAACTAAAATAGTTTTAAGCATGTGTGCATTATACTGATAACTTTTGGGTTTAGGCCATTTCGGACGCTCGAAACGATGTGACTACTGCGTTTACCAAAGCGGGACGTGAGGTCTTGAAGCAGATGTTGAATATTCAAGACGCCGAGGCGAAAGCAGAGGCCAAGAAACGATTAGCTGTTTGGGGAAGTGATGTCGAGACAAATAAGGCAGAGATGAATGCTGTAGATGCTCCTATTGATTTTGGTCTTTTGGCATCACCTGATGGAGATCGTAATGAACAGGTGGATCAATTCACATTTAACCTCAACCAAGCCATCAAAGGAACGATTAAGACTGGTGATGCCTATGCAACCTCCAAGCTCAAAAAGGTTAGTGTTTAATGCATTTCTAAACAGTCTACTCTCGTTGCTTATACGAAGAACTATTTATTTCTAGTGATTTCTTGTACTGTTCTTCTATAGCTTCATTATACAAATCGAAATTGGCTGGTCTAAATTGGACAAGTACTCTCCGTCTACATTATAATTGATTCTCCATTTCGTGCCATAACAGCTTTCGCAAATTTGCATAATTTTTGTTTTAATATCGGTGCTATTTACTTCTCCAACTCTGTCGTTTTTATTCGCCGCCACTATTTTCATATCACGTAAGAGAAAAATTACAACACTTTTTCAGATTTTGGAATCAAATTCAATCAAAAGTTATCTCTCATGTCTTCTAATTGATTATTAGGTACAATAGTCCTCGTTAACTCATTACGATAGTTGATTGAATATGCAAATGCATTTGAGAAGCTAGATTTCATTATGTTTGCAATAGCACATTTTCTCTACTTGATTCATGCAAAATTGGTCGATTTTAATAGATGTTTCGTAATGTGTATTTCTAGGTACATCAGCTGACAGGTTTTTCCGATCCGGTATATGCTGAGGCATTTGTCAGTGTAAATCAATTTGACATTTCCATGGATGTTCTATTGGTCAATCAAACCAATGACACTCTCCAAAACCTCACCCTTGAACTCTCAACCCTGGGGGATCACAAACTTCTCGAAAAACCTCGACCCATCACCCTGGCCGCTCAGGACTTTGCCAATGTCTGCGCTAAGATCAAGGTAAAATTCAAATGGAACCCATAATTTGTCCTGTTCCTCTCTAACATCCGTTGTTATCTAGATCTACTCCATCTCATCTTCAAGCAAAAGCGTAATACATGTTGCACGTTTCTTATAGATGCATTTTAGAGTACGCTAAGTTGAAATTTCCCACCTAATTTTATGCTCGTTTATGGTCGCATGATTATAGGGTCCCCAACTTCGATAGAAATCGATAATGATGTACAAAATGCAGTCAATAATTTTGAACGCGACTGCTAAGCACAATATTTTTGCTTGAATCTTGTAGGTTTCTTCAACTGAGAATGGCATAATCTTCGGAAATATTGTTTATGATACACGAGGCTCGGCTGGTGAGTCGAATTGGATTGTTCTGTCGGACATTCGAATTGACATCCTGGAGTACATACAACCGGCAACCTGTTCGGATCAAGATTTCCGCACAATGTGGTCTGACTTTGATTGGGAGAATAAGGTGAGTCCTAAATCTATTTTATTATCCATGCCATTACCTACAAAAAAAACTGTTATGGGTCATATTCCACTTGAAAAAGAGACAAATACTTGTATTAAGTAACGAAATCAGGGCATCAAAGGTCTTTGTTTATTTGATGCTAGAAAGGACTGAGTTGTCCGTGTTCTCTTGTGTTGTGTATGGCTTAGTGTAATGTAATGTTAAATTTTAACGAATTAACTGGGTCTCATGGATGATGTCATGCACATAGTTTTCATACCTCAATTTACAAGAACCCTGTCATGTCTAAGAACGGGTGAATAAAATTAGCAACGATTTATAACTTTGAAATCTTTGGCCATGACATCACAATCGTTTTGCTAGTTGATGCTCCAGAAAACTTGAAGCCATCTTAATTAGCTACTTTTCTTATTTTTAGTTGTGGTACATTTTCCCCAAGAAAGTGATTAAATGTAGACTTATTTAACTATAATGTGACGCAATTTATTATAACTTTGACCAAATTTGAAACTACTTAGAAGTCACACGCTTTTCGCCTCCGAGGTTCATTAATTACACGATTATCTATGAAGCAAATAGACGCATCATCGTAACCTACTACTAGTACTTTCGATGGTTCTAATGCTCCTTTATTGTGTTTCCCCCCCCCCCCATTTCATTATCTTCACATCACAACAGAGAGCGTCTATTAATTGAAATGGTAGTTAAATTCCACTTAATGTCAGCCCGAGTATGGGAAACTAGATGAAAACGTCTCACTTGTGAAATCTTTAGGGTGCTTTCTTCCGATTCGGAGGTATCGAGGTAACAACTAATTAGTTTCAATTCAATAAATTAGATGGCCAACTGCACTAGTTAATATAGTTAACAGGTGCAAGAGCGTTCACTACATTAGTTCCCAAGTAATGTTAGCTCTTCTTGGAGATAAAATCTTTTTGTCCTTTGTAAACTCCAATTTTTAGGAATCACAGCACTTATATTAGTTCAACATGGAATCTCTTAATTAAGCTGGGAACGAAAGTGAAATGGGGGTACTAGTGCAACTTCGGCTAAAATGTAAAATTGACCACAAGCTAGTAGTAGAAAGAAAAGAGAGGCCAAAGTTTCAAAGTAATGATTAAGATTAACCCAGAGTATTGTTATTCTTTGGTTCGGTTAAAAAATATGGTGCTTGAACGCCATTTTCAGTAGAACATAGATATTAACATATCGATATTACTTAAGTCAGAAGAAACATGTTCAATAATTTATAATACCATTTTCTTCTTGACAAACATATTTTTTTATAAAATGAGCTACAACTTGAGAAATTCCGTCATTGGTAATTCTTATTGCCGTTGATGGCACTGTCAGTGAACAAACGAAATGGTCAATAATAGTCCATCCTGACAAAATTTTCCATTTATTCCTTGCTGATACAGGTTACTGTCAGCACTCAAGTGACTGATTTGCGAACCTACTTAAACAATGTGACAAAAATAACTAATTTCAAGTGTCAAACTCCACCGGAAGCTCTGCGTGGCGATTGCTCTTACCTTTGTGCTACTCTCTACGCTTGTTCCATCTTCGGTGAACACGTACTGGGCAATCTCTGTCTTGAAAAATCCTCTGATGATGCTCCTGTCTCTGGCCACGTTCGTATTCGCGCCAAGACTCAGGGCATGGCTGTTACCATGGGGGATAAGGTGGCATTTTCCATATTTAAACCTACTATTACTACTTTCTCAAATTTTTAACAGTTGATGTCTTTTGCAGATAAGTACATCTCAAAAGCAATGGAAAGATGATAAACCATCGAAGGATGCTGATTCAACGAAAAAAGGCTCTGAGACTGGTTCCTTAATACCTGTTATATAGTATATATGCCTTGTTGAATGTTTAGAGCTCTTTCTTCCTTTCTTCTTCTGCTCTCTCTCTCTCTCTCTCCCACTTTACAATTTCTTCCCATGCTCCTCCATCTCCTGTTTTCTTAAAAATATCTTCACCACTTGACTTTTGTTTAACTCGATAAATTTTTCTGTGAATTTCCACTTTGTGTAGTTAATTATCTCCCTGGGTGTTCGTCTGACCCCGAATGTCAAGTGACGTTTTTTTGCGATAAAATATTTATTTATATCAAACGGTATTCGTTTTGATAGTTGACTTCAGGCTTCACAGAGGGGAAGGAAAATCAAAGTGAAAAATAGTCGAGAGGGGAGAGAGCGTAACAGAAGGGTATTTCAAAGATGTAAGAGACCGATACAGAAAGGGAAAAAGGTGAGGTGAGTACTATAAGTAGTCGAGTATTACACAGTGGGGTAATCATTATAAAATTGGCTACTATGAGTTTTCCACATGGACTATCCATTGTTCATATAATAAAGCACTTGAGAAATAAATAGGGCTTGAAAGTTTTAGTAACCTACATTAAGATCGCGATTCTGGATTCATCCAAACGATTTTAGTTTGAGTAAGAAGATAATTAAGACGAGAATGTCTTTTCATGGAGAAAATTGTAGTATTTAAAAACTTAGTGGTTCTTATTCAGATGCTTTCTAATACAAATTCAATATTAAAATTGAGAATACTTTCAGGTATCTTTGCACGAAGAAATACAATATGCCAGGAATCTGATTAATGCATAATAAGATATTATTAAAATTTTTATTTGATGTCGAAATAGTGTTTAATTTTAAGCAACGCATGTTTAAGTTTACTACATAAAGAGCCTCTTGAAGGTTATTCTTACGGTTCACAGTCCAATATTTCACCTCTTAGTTGCAGTCGCGCATGGCGCTTTGTAGGTTTAACCTTTAATGGTGTTTTCGAAATATCTATTTGCCTTAACTTGACCTAGAGTTTATTTTGTAACTCAAATTTCTACTTAATTTAAATATTTGACTTTTGAGAGTTTAAATCTACCTTTTTCATTAAACCAGTTGGCTTGACTTCCAATCTCGAATAGTTGTTGGGAGCTTTTTTATCCACTTTCATGAGTGCTAACTACCTAGCTTCATTTTCTGAACGTTGATAACCCTTTTTATATGTAATTCAGGCACCAAACTTGATCATGCCTTGCCTCTGCGCATTCGCCAGTTTTTGGCCATCATATTTGGTATCATCGAAATGCTTTTCTTCGGTGGTATCATTTTTGGTTTCAACGCTCTCACTCCCGTCTTGCAAGCTGAAGGCATCTACAGGCACCTCTGCAATGTAACCAACTCATCCATCTCTGTCTGCAGTGAACAGACTGCTATGTACGGCTACGCTTTTACCACCTATATGGTCGTTCAGATGGTTATGCTATTTGTTGTCGGCTTTCTCGTTGACCGTGTTGGTCTTCGTATTGTAAAATTTAGCTCCTCTCTCCTTTTTTCATTCGGTGCAGTTCTGTTTGCTGTAGTTAATACCGCCAACTCATGGCTAATTTTTCCGGCTGGCTCGTTTATCTGTGTCGGTGGTATGGCTGGTCTTATCTGCAACTTCGCCTACTCTAAACTTTTTACTAAATCCTCTGTCTTTGTTCTCGCTATGATCACTGGGTCTTATGATGCATCTTCATCTGTATTTGCATTTTTTACTCTTGCATACAATGCCGGTTTCTCCTATCAGTTGACATTCTTCCTTCTTGCTGCAATTGGTCTTGCAATGAACACTTTCAGCAGTTTCTTTATCGCCACTTTCAAACTTTCTGATATGTCTATGTTCCACTCTAATGGAGGGAAGAATTCATCAATGGTATGTGTTGGCAAACGCCTCAAATTGTTTGTGTTATTTTATGAATTTTCACCTAATTTAACAGTATTTTTCGAGATAATTTGTTAATTTTCACTGGCAATGTTCTTTGATGTCGATTGAATTTCTGTTCCAGTTGAAATATTGTATTTGCAATTCACATTAGTTTGACAATATTTATATTTAGGGCGCTCTCTTTCCTAAATACTCGTCCTTTAAATCTTCACATCTTATCATTTTTGTATTTATTTTCTAAAAAAGTACTTTCAAGTGAAATTGACGTTTTAATAATCTCGTATTATATTGTCACTTTAGGATCATTTTTTTACTTGCCAGTTAAAATTGATAATATGCATTATTTTGGCTTGGAATTATTTATAATTGTATCTCAATCTGATCTCAACAATATTAGTCTGTTAAAAATACTTCGACGAGTCCTATCCGTAGCAGAAACATCCCCAAAAGTGCTAAGTTGTTGTCCTTTTAAACTTCTACGAACCTCAAGACGCAACAAAATGGGTGAAAATATTGAGTCAGTGGCTAAAAACCTCCACTAGAAGAGAAGTGAGAGGGTGAGACTGCAACAGCCCTCTGACTAACCAATAAAAATTGATACCGCACCTAAGGGAAGAAGACTAAGTCAGGAACAGATGGGAGAAAGGAAAAGTTTCAGGATAACCGTTAAACTCGAGTGAGGACATGGTCACTATTGCCTATCACACAATAACGGCATTTTTTGCTTTCATCACTTTTGCTGGAATTTTAAATCGTTTTATTTTAATCAGTAATTTGAACTTAGAACTTATATTTTTCTGGTTAGAACATAGTTTTCAGTTTTCAGCACTTTTAGTAAGTGTTTCAGTAAACTTGCTAAGGTAACGTTAAGGCATTTGACAGTGAATAATGGTAACTTTTTGAAAGTCTGAACAAATATAAAATTATTAATAGGTGTCTGAATTGAACGGAAAAGGCGGTCTTGCGTGATTAGTTATAGTATTGATATTCCATCGTTAATAAATGTGGTTTGTATTTATTATTTTTAGCCTTCTTATTTAATGTTTGGTGGCTTCAGGGTTTCTAAATCCATATTTTTATGTCCTGGTAGTCCACATAACCATGCTCATTGCATTTGCCAAATTTTCGATGAAGCAGGCACTACATTACTATTGACCATTAAATAGACATTATTTCTTGCAACTTCTTCGATTTTAGACCAGTGCCGGAGATGAGGAAGAGAAGAACTCATCATTGGACAAATCCGAAAGCTCCGAAGATGAAGTTGCAAGCATAGTACGCGGCTACTATCCGACAGTACTCTCCTCCCTCCGTTCCTTCCCATTCTTTATGATCACCTGTTTCTTCTCAGTTGCCATGGTCCGTTTCACATTCTTCCTCACTCAATTCGGTTTCCTCACAGAATACCATTTCCACACTGAACCATCAATTCGAGCACACCTTGCCCAAGTGATTTCTTTCGCTATGGCCGGCGGATTTATCTCTGGCATGGCTTGCGGTGCCACTATTGACTTTCTTCGAGCTCGGCTCAATCCTATGGTGAATAAATCTCTCTCCGTTGGTGCCAACAGTGCTGTCTTTTGGTTAAGGTTGTGTCCCCACGCTATCGCCATGCTTGTTGTCTCCGTTGCAGCTACCGTTCTCAGTTGTCTAGTCTTCCAACCCTATGTCCAGGTGTATTATGTCAATTACTGTTTCTTGGTCATTATGCGTGGCTTCCTCTTCAGTACTATCAGCTCATTCATTATGACTGCCTTCCCGATTGAGCAATTCGGCACGCTGTATGGCATTAGCGGGACTCTTGCCGGTGCCTTTTCCTGCATTCAATATGCTCTCTTGATGGTAAATGTCAACACTGCTAATTTACTCTGTTTTGTATTTGTGATCTTGATGGCCTCTGTGCCTATTACTGTTCTCTCTCTAAGTTCCCGTTTGTGGAAACGGAGTCAATAGATTCTCGAATTTAAAGTGCATTCTTGTTAGATACTTTTCCCTCCGAAAGTGTCAATCTGTATATGGTTGAATAAAATAACTTTCTGGTAGTTAATAAAGGAATTTCTTTTCTTCAGGGAACTAGTTAACTTGATTCGGGCCCTGTGCAAACGCCTATTGAACGCGTGCAACTTGAAATGGGGTCACTCTGGCTAATGTTGAAAACCTGCATTGACGCGGATTTTGTTTCTAGAAATTTCCAGAATGATATTCCGCGAAGGCTGTGATTAGCCGTTAGACGTGTATGCCATCTATACTTTCATATATACTTGATTTTGTAAATGGTATATGGGCATTTGGAGTACAGTTAAAATGCTGAATTTAAAGGAAAAAAGGGGATACCACTTTGTGTTGTTTCCTTGCTGGTCCCTACTGAATTAGACGGGGGATAAAATTTGCTCAACAAAGAAACCCCGATTTTACGATCTTAGATCAGAGTCTATTTTCAATCCTTCTAAATCATAATTGAATTCGAATAGAGTAGGTGACCTTAAGGACTTTAAATACGCCGGCTCTTTACCGACCAGTGACGTTCAACACTGTCGAACTTAGTAATCGCACATGTCAAATCAAATTTCACGAGATTAGAGCCCATTAGGGAATGTCTAACTCTGCGGGTGGCCAACTTTACTGGGTAACTTTGTTCAAAAAAGGGATAATGAATGCGAGGTTCCCATGGGTGAGGCTGACATCTTCCTGCTTTGTTTGGTCAGCTTAGAAATTTTTAAAATAACTTCAAAAAAGTGCATTTCAATAAATACTAACCGATCTGAAATGCTAATTTCTGTTACATTTATTAATTTAAGACCAATCTTTAAAAATGTTAATTTTTCGTTTGGTAATTCACAGTCTGACGCCGTCCTAATTCCGTGCATTAGCGGTAGCCTTTCTAGCACCCAGGACAAACATATGTTTCCAATAAACACAATACCGTTGATTACTATAATATCGTAAAAAATAACAGACATATTCGGTCCCTCTTCAAAGAATAAAGTCTCTTTCGGGAACATTGATTTGTAAGAAGGCTCGATTTTACCAGAATGGCCAAAAAATAGGTCGTGTGGGGGGGGGGGGGGCGGAATCAGCTTAAGGCATTTGTAGAAATGGCTGTCTGCCAATTTTTACGGCTATATTAGTCCCAATATTGGCCTTCAGAATCCCCTCTTCAGATCATAATCCAAGTGACCATTTTGTCGAGCAGGACATAAACCGCCTTTCCCCTACTACTAAAGCCCAGTTAATCGACCGAATAAAATGTACGCAGGCAACAGAATGTATGACGTGGAATATGATTTATTTGGGTTGTGCATTCCGAGGTATGTCCTCCCTCTCCCATGGGAAACTGGCACAGCGCTTTTTCATTAATTAGGGTTTTGGGAGCATTGACCCTATGATGGCCATCGGTTATTGTTCAGTTGAGAGGTCCCTGAACTCGTGACCTCATTTGGTTCCTAACTCGATCAGCTCCGCCGTTCCGTGTTCCAGAATTTTCGGGTGCGCATGAAACGGCTTAACTTAATCGTGTTAGGATTATCTACTCCAGAGATTAAAAAATTGATTATTTGAAAATCTATGATGAATTCTCCTTCTTAGTTTATCAGTTTCAATAAATGATCTCATTTATGGTAAAATGTTTAATGTTAATATTGCAAAGTATTGTTTACAATTCGACCCCAAATACTTTCATCCAATGAATAGTTTTGTTTAATCATTTATTAATTTGCTCTTGCATTGATTGGCACATTTCAGGTCTTGGAATAGCATTGATTTTGTTTTGGAGTTTGCATTACAAAGTAAAATTCAATTTTTAAGAAAATTAGGGTGTTTAACTTAATTGATTTCGCATAACCAAACGTATATGCATTATATATATTAACATTAATATACATTAAGAATATTA